ATAGAGAAAGATTATTTTCCTCCTCTTTCAGCTTACAAATGAGATTCCTCATTGTCACATGTCTCTGGAGATGAAATGCAAAATATTCAAACAGGCAATCAACAGCATTTTCCCATATGAACTATATAGTAAACAAAAGTCAAGGAGTCTTAATGAAACAAAAGAATGTTGAGTAAAAGTGAAGACAACTTACAGAATAGTAATTTTTTTATATTTATATATTTTATATGCATGTATGTTTTGAAAATGGAATATTATACACATTGTTTCATATCCTATTCTTATCACTTAAGAGTATATCACGAATACATTTCTTTGTCAGTAGATGCCTTAGCACAGCATCATTGCTAATGGCTTTCTTTAACAATTGGCATTGCAATAGTTTAATTACAGTCAACTTGTTCGGAGATGTTTTTAAAATAGGTGCCCTTTTTTTTGTAATTTACAGTCTATTTTTATTTATTTATTTATTTATTTTTAATTTTTTGTTTCTTGCAACAACCTGAAATTTTTACAGTCTATTTAAAGGTGCTTCCTTTTTGCATTCGATAAGCCATATGAGTTTATAATTTCTTATGTAATAGAATTTGTACTCATTATATGGTACTCAAAATAATAGCAAGAGAAATAACTTTTTTTCGTTGGATGAGATCTCTGTATTCATTAAGTTACTTTTGCTAAATATTCTCCCAAACTTATTTTTCCATTCTCACAATTGCACAGAAATTTAGTGTACCTGCATCCCTTAGCTCAGCTGGGATCATGAGAAGCTCTGCTTGCTACAACGTGTGTTTTTTTTTTTTTTTTTTTTCCACATGGTGTACTATCCTTGGGACAAATGAGAAGCTTCATGATGCAATTACCCAGACATTTCTATTTAGGAGAATGGCAATAGGCTTGCTTTGGAAGACTTTATAATTTCTAAAAAATATCTATTTAGTTGTTCAAATGTGAAAATTGTTTAAACAGTGCAGAACCAGGTGTTTTGGGGCCTAAAGATTTTATAATTTTGATATCCTCTTTTAAAAACAGGATACAGGGGCCGGCCCGGTGGCGCAAGCGGTTAAGTGCGTGTGCTCCACTGTGGCGGCATGGGGTTTGGCAGTTCGGATCCCGGGTGTGCACCGACTCACTGCTTAGTAAGCCATGCTGTGGCGGCATCCCATATAAAGTGGAGGAAGACAGGCACGGATGTTAGCCCAGGGCCAGTCTTCCTCAGCAAAAAAAGAGGAGGATTGGCAGATGGTAGCACAGGGCTGATCTTCCTCACACACACACAAAAAAAACCCAGGATACAAAATTATAAATAATAAATTAGGTAATTAATTTCCACTTATTTACATTGAGAAATGAAATGAAAACAAATTACAAATTATGAAATGCTTGTTAATACCACAGACATCATGAAATCTAGAAAAAATAATTATTAAATATATCTCCTGACACATCTCTAATTGTTCCTATATTTTTGGCTTACATCTTCGGATTTCCTCTTCCTGTAACCATGATTTTGTAATAAAATTTTCTGTGGAGGAAATAGAAAGGCAATTTAGTGTGTCCTCTATTGTAGTCAGTCAAAATTTGTTTTTTATTATTGAGATTTGACTCCACACCTGGACTTGCTCACTGTTTGTAGCATCACTACAGATGTGTTGTATACAAACTAGAAATTCTGAGAATTTCTCTTTTGCATGATTTGCATCGAAAAGGTGAAAAAAAATCTTGTGCATGCATAGCTACACATAATTACATACACCGTGGTATCGAGTATATTCCTGAGACTTTGACTAACAATTGATTATAATTAAATCTTCCACTTCTAATTTTGTTCATGGAATGTTTGGAAGAATTTCCGTGATTAACTTCTTACTCTGTTCATTTCAAACTTTGTTTCTCTTCCCCGGTGTACATACATCCAATGCAAGGTACCATGAGCACATTCCATCATGATAAGCTCTCAGCCCCTGTACCACTATGTTGAGGTGCTGAGTAAGTTGGCAGAGTAGAACTCATTTCTACCAGGTGGTTACCAGTAACCTAACTATACACTGAAGTCATTGCAATTCCCATAAAGACATTCCTCTACACCTTAACTAAATGAAGCACAAATTCATCTTCTCCTTTCCTGGATCCCCAAAATGCTCACAACTATTCTAGTAACATATGACAGTTTATACAGTACAGGGCTTTTACTTGATTGCAGTTAAAACATTATCCTTGCAAATTCTTTTAAAAATATAGGATCACAAGAACACATTGATAGAATTTCTCCCAAGGTACAGGAAGGGGCCTGTGAAAGTGAGCCACCCTGAGAGTTAAGGTTCAACAGTTTCACATAAATCTACCTCTGGGCTTTGATTCGTTTTTTTGGGTGGGGAGGAAGACTAGTCCTGAGCTAACATCTGATGCCAATCCTCCTCTTTTTTTTTTTTTTTTTTTTACTGAGGAAGATTGGCACGGGGCTAATATCCCTGCCCATCTTCCTCTACTTTATATGGGACGCTGCCACAGCACGGCTTGAGAGATGGTGCATCAGTGAGTGCCCAGGATCCAAACCTGCGAAACCCAGGCCACTGAAGTGGAGTGCGCACACTTAACCACTGTGCCACCGGGCCAGCCCTGGGCTTCGATTCTTAATCCTACATCTTTATTACTACTAAAAACAGCTTCGCAGTAATAAAAATAATACATGATGTATTTCACTGACTGACAAGGTGATTAATTATAGGCTGAAATCTGGGTGATTCTTCATGAGGAAATAATTGCTACAATTATCTTTAGACCTGATATGCATTTAAATGAAGTATTTTTAAAGAAATGTTCTAATTGTCTTGATTTTATAAATTTTCTAAATCTCATTCTTTTTATGGAAATCAGTTCTTGTAATATATAAGTTCTTAAGATAAATGATTTTGTGATGACTAATTCATAGAATGTCAAAGATGATGTTTGAACTTGATATTTTCCATTTATAAATAATGTTTCCTTTTCCCTAAGAAACAAAATTATTCTGAAATATTAAAACTAACACAAAAATCTAAATATCTATGGATTTTATTATAAAATGAAAAATATTAGCTTTCATTTTTATAAAGATGGCTTTATTTTACATGAAATGATCAAGCCTTAACTGGTTATAACAGATAAATAATGTTTAAAAAGAGAAGTTATTTTGCCTGAAAATACAGTCTGATAATTTCAATGCAACAAACCCTACTTGTCTGTTACCACTTTCATGCACTTATTTTTATAAATAATAATGGAAAATGAATCCATACAAGTTACAAAAGAACTTTTGATAGTCAGCACTAACATATAAATGGATTTTTAGAATTGGCACTTTTGGCTGTAGCAAACAAAAATCAATCCTTAGTGACTTGGCAAACATTTTCACTTCAGGGTGGAATTCAGTGTAGTTTTCTCTTCTGATAAGCTTTGAGTTTGGGCTTAGTTGCTCATTAATTCTACTCCATAGTGAATATTGAGAGCCATTTGCAGAAATCAGATCTGCCTTCTCCAAGGAGAAATATTCTAAACAAACACAAAAAGCCTTCCAAGAGAATCTTGTAGGCTCTTAATAACTAGTCATGTAAAAGTAGATACCATTAGACAAAAACTCACTTCTATTGAAGATATTTCTTTGAATCTCTAATGACTTTCTCATTGTGATTTATAGTTTCAAAATATGTCTGAAAAAGAAACAAAATATATCACACAGGATAATTCTTTTTGAAATTCAACAACAGTGTCCCGACTCTCTCCATAGCAAAGATTATGGCATTTGGACATGATTCTATAACATGAAGAATTCCTAATATAATTCCAAAGACATGCAGCTGTATCTAAATAATATATGAATCTAAAGTAGTCCACATTCTAGGAAACACACAATAGGCATTAAAATTGATTGTAAATTAACATTTACAAGTATTTAAATGCTATAGGAAAGCCATTAATGTAAAATGTATAGCATCCAAGAGTTATCTTTAATAATTTATTCCTTTATGAAGCTAAACTGGGTCTTATGTTAGAAAACTCTTCCACTAAAAGAAGTTGTCCCCAATGTCTTTATTTTATGAAACATTTGTGTTTGTATCAAATGAGAACGTTACTATGTGTGGCCAAAGAGCATCACAAACAATCCAAAGCAGATAAACAGTCAAGCAGGTAAATGTTCATCGTCAGTACAACTTAGATACTGTAAGATGAAAATGATGTAGAGTGATGTACAAAAATACATTTCTTTGTAAAATTATTCGGTCATATATATGCTATGCACTGAGAAATTTTTAGATCACCAAAGTATGTTATTATGTAAATATACATCTAGGTGTACATTAAGTAGGTAAAAATAGGAAGCCTTCTTAAATATATGCATGACTGTATGACTAATATGTGAGTCAGTAATGTATTCTTAGAATTTTTGAATGAAGCATGTAAACCTATTGCCCAAGAATCTGCTTTATAATTATGAAGACATAGGACCATCTAAGATTAAGTGAAAATATCCAGCATGAGCAGTACTACCAAAAAAGGAGGTTGTTCAGACATCTGGAATTTGGTGGAATCTACCTTTGATTATGGCAGTGGGTATAATCTGGAAATATTCTGCCAAAATGCAGAGGCTGTATATTCCAATGTTTTCAATGGATCAGGACAGTATCATGAATATGTGAAGCCAAAAAGCTTTTAAAATTAGAGAACTGTGGGCAATGTGGTTTAGTAGAGAGTCTATTTCAATTAAAAACACTTGAAAACATTCTTTTAAACTATGTGCTCCTCAATAAAGACATCTGCAGGCTAAAGAGAGTCCACAGAGCTCGAGTTTGTTAGTTACTCCCTGCCACGATGACTTATTTAAGCATGAGGAAAGTAAATGTGTGTGTTTCCCTTTGGTCACCTTCTAAAGGCTAGGAACCACGTCACATTCATTTTTAAAGAGATTTTAAAATCAACTTTTAAGGCGTAATTTAGATACAATAAAATGTACTGAGTTTGAGTGTTCAGTTCGATGGGTTTGACGGATATGTAAATCCAAGTGACCATCACACTAACAAAAGGCAGATAACATTTCCTTCATCCCTAACAAGTAAATTCACCCAGGCTACATTCAGTACATCACTACTCCCAACACCTAGCCTTGGTCAAAACTGACCCATTTTCTCTCACTGTAGACTGGTTTTGCCTTTCTATTGTTTTATATAAATGAAATCATACAGTTTATGCTCTTTTGTGTTTGGCTTCTTTTGTCCAACATCTTGTTTTTGAGATATTGTTGAATGTATCAGTAGTTTGTTGTATTTTATTGCTGAGTATTATTCCATTAAATAAGCATAAGAGTTCACTCATCTCTTCCATTGATGGACCCTTAGCCTATTTCCAATTATGGTCTACCGTGAAAAAGTTGCTATGGTCATTCTTGTACAAGATTTTTTGTACACTTTTCATCTTTACTGGTTGAATACCTATGAATACAGTTGTTGTGTCATATGTTAAACGTATGAACAACTTTATAAGAAACTGCCAAACTGTTTTCCAAAGCAGTCATGCTATTTAGCACTGCATTAGAGTCCCCGCTATATTACATCCTGATCAATACTTGGTATTGTCTGTACGTTTTCAAAATTCTTACTATTTTAGTTGGTATCTAGGAGATTCTCATTGTGGTTTGATTTAGATTTCATTGATAAACAATGATGTTAAAAATCTTTTCGTGTACTCAATAGCCATCCCTTTTGTGAGGTGTCTTTTCCAATTTTTGGCCCATTTTTATTTGGTTCTATTCCTCTTATTAAGTTCTTTATATAATATGGACAAATGTTCTTGTTTTATAGTCTTTAATGTGCATTGTCTATATTTTGTGAAATTCGTCCTTAAGCATTTCGTGTCTTTTAATGCTATTTTAAATGATGTTTTTTAGGTTTGTAATTGTTGCTATTGAAATAAGATTGATTTTTATATTTTCACCTGGTAACTTGCAATTTTTCTAAATTCACTTACTATATTATTTCTAGTCGTGTTTTATAGATTCCTTAAGATTTTCTACTAGCATGACCTCTGTGAATAAACAGCTTTATTTATCCTTCAGCATTTTTTATGACATTTTCTTTTTTCCTTATTGCAATGGCTAGGGCCTCCAGTAAAATGTTAAGCAGAAATAGTGACATCAGACATCATTGCCTTTATCCCGGATGGAAAGCACCAGCTCTTTTGTCATTACGTATGATATTAGGTATATATTTTTTCATGATGCCCTATATTAGGTTAAGGAGGATGCCTTCTATTCCAATTTGAATTACATCAAATGTCTTTTCTGCATCTATTGAGATAATATGCTATTTTTCTTCTTAATGTAATGAGTTAGTTTCATATATTCAATCAACCTTATATTCCTAGGATAAATTCTTCTTAATCATAACATATTATTTTTATATATATGTTAGATATGATATGCTAATATTTTAAATCTCTTATTGTGGTAAAATTTACTTACTATTTACTAATATTTTGTTAAGGGTTTTTTTTTATGTCTGTGTTCATTGGGTTAGCAGTCTTTAGTTTTCTTTTCTAGTAATATTTTTCTCATGTTTTCATAAGATAATATGTGGCTTCATATAATGAGTCTGGGGGTGTTCCCTGCTTCTCTCTTTTTCTGAAAAAGTTTGTGTTAACATTGACATTATTTCTTCCTCAAATGTGTCGTGGCATTCACCTCAAAAGCCGCTTGAATCTGGAATATTCAGATGAGAAGGCTTTTAATTAAAACCCAGTTGATTTGATATCATTACTTATGTAGGACTATTCAAATTTTCTATTTCCTTTCATAGCTGTTTTGTAGTTTGTATCTTTCCAGTAATATGTCAGTTTCACCTAAGTTGTTGAATATTTTGACATAAAATTATTCTTAATATTACTTATCTTTGGGATCAGGAGTGATACCCCATCTTTCATTCCATTATATCAATGACTTATTTTTTCTCTTTTTTCATGATAAATCTAGAGGTTTATCAGTTTTATTAGTAAGAATCAGTGTTTGTTTTTATTGATTTTTCTCTATTGTCCATTTAATATTTTGTTTATTTTCACTCTTATCTATATTGTTTAGTTTAATTTGATAATTTCCCAGCTTCATAAGGTAGAAAATTGGACCATAAATTTTAAATATATTTCTTCCTTTTCCTGATGTATGCATTTAAACTTAAACATTTCCATTTAAGTAGTGCTTTAAATGCATTTCTCACATTTTGACAGGCATTTTTATTGTCAGTTCGTTCAAAATATTTTCTAATTTCCCTTGTTATTTCTTTTTTCACCCATAGATTATTTAAATTTGTGCTGTTTAATTTTAATATGTTTGGATATTTTCCAGTTATCTTTTTGTTATTTATCTCTTATTTAATGTCTCAGCAGGCAGAGAAAATTCTCTATGATTTCAGACAATTTAAACTTTGTCACTGGTTTATGTCCACTCTCCCCATGATAGTCCACCTTGTGAAAGTTTGCTGTGTTCTTTTTTTCCCCTGCTTTATTGAGATATAAATAACATATAACACTGTGCAAGTTTAAATGTGTATTCTTGAAAAAAATGTATTTGACTTTTGTTGGGATAGTGCTCTATAAACATCAATTTATAGAAACCATTGTAGAAATGTTGATAAAAAGATTACGTACAAATTATAAATTTCTTTCTGTGACCACAAAGACAAGAAAAAAGTCGTTTTTGAACAAGTGATAATTTCCTTCCCTTTGAATGAACTCCCACAAATTTCTGTGTTTGTTTAGTAGAGGAAAACCAGTGTATGATTTCCATGCTTTTTTTAAATTGAGATATAATGGACATATAATATTATATTTGTTTCATGTGTACAATGTAATCAGTGAATATCTTTCAATCTTACCATTGCATTCTTGAATTGCAGCTGCTTGGATCTCTGTTGTTATAGGTCCTTAAGATAAATGCATCTGAGTAGTGATTGTGGTAGCAACGAGTTAGAAGCAACCTACTTGTCAATAACCTGAATCACCAAAGTGTAGTACAGGCATACGAATGGTGACTATAGGTTGGTGTGAATGGGAAGGCAACAGTACTGTCAATGCTTTCCAGCCAAAGACTACCAGGAACACCCGTGTAATCAAACAATTTAGGCTTATCGCTCTTTGCAACAAGGAAGAACACGCAGCATAGGGATCCGTGGGACACTGTAGTTAGGAGGATGTTGAATGAACTTATTATAGCCTTTGGGGACTTGTTAGGTGATTTTGGATAGGGCTCAAGGAAATGAGACTTTGTTCTGAGTTGGATGCTGTCAGAAAGCAGGTGAAAATTTATGATTGATTATCTTAATAAGTTGGATCTATAAGATAGGAAGAAATAATCAAAGCCAAAGCTATAAAGGTAAAGAAGCAGCAGCCACTTATTTTAGCCAGAAGAAGAAAATGTTTGCTCATTTCCATGGTCTGGATGACATTAATGTTTTAGTCTGTGTTCACAAATGATGCTGTGGTGGCCTTGTTTTTATTCTGATCTATCACCGTCATGGAGCGACTTTGCCTGAAAGACAAAATTGTTTAGATTCAACAGGAAAAGAGCAAATCCTAAATGTGAGTACCAGGTCAGGGCCCAGGGGTTAGAGGCTGCTTTTCTCTTCCTCAGTGGAAAGATGGAAGCGAAAGAGAAAAATAGTAAAAATTTACGAACAATGAAACAAAGAGGGTCCTGGTGCTGACTGACGATGTAATGATGATGTAATTGTGCCATGAATCGAGGAGTCTGATTAAAATTCTGTGCACTTTAGGCCCACCTTCCCATCCATATACATAATATTTTTTTTAAAGAAAAGAAATTGAAATTAGACTGAAACAGAAGAACACAACAAACTGTTAAATGTAAAATTTAGGTTGTCCTTACTATCCAGCAGAAGGGGTCTCGGGAGGGAAACAGCAGTTTTATATAAAAATCTCACGTTTTCCTTCAGGTCTGATCAATTTCTCCGTTGCTTTTAGTGTTCATCATTACTGAGGAATGTCCTGATGCCAATCTGACGCATGTTTTACTAGAGGCACCCTATTTTATTCGCAGGTAGCTATTTTGATAATTGTCTCCTTTCCTCTCTGTATAAAATGTCACACTGATAAATCTACTAAGTGGCCTTCCATTTCACCATAAACTTGCTGGAAGATGACTGTGGGTGACATTCCAATTTTCATCATTCTTATTTTGTCACAGAGTAACTCAGTGGGTCATTTCAATCTGGAAACACATACCTTCCATTTCTGTGGAATTTTCCTACAGTATTTAAAAAGTTCTTTCTTCCTTTTACAGTTTTTATTTCCCCCTTATGTAATTTCTATTAGTCAGATGTTGAGTCCTCTAAATTGACTTACTAGATTTTCCTAACTACTCTCCAATCTTTCTGCATGTTTTTAAATTTTAGCAATCATTTATTTTTTATATTTTCTGATCTTTTTCTTCCTACTTTGTGTATGAATTGTCTTCTCTTACTCTGAGGTTACCATTTGAAGGTAGTTTTGTGAGGTGCTATGTTTTCTGTGGTTTGTCGACACAAATAATCCATAATCAATCTATAAATCATAATTGGGGTGAGTTTATTATATGAGACAGTTTGAGGCCTATAGCCCAAGAGAACTTTTCCACTAAGGAAGAAAGCTCTCCGAAGAAGTGGAGTATAAACCACCTTGAAACAAAGAGCATCCATCACATATGACAGGATCATCTCTTTTACTACAGTCACGAGAGGCTCTGCTAGCACAGCAGGTCAGTGGTCACAAGGTGCACACAGCAAGTCGGCAGTCAGCAGGTCAGTGGTCACGAGATGAATTAAGGCAGGTCAGTAATTAATCATTAGTTTCTGGGAAGAAATGTTTATCCTTAAAGAAACATTGATATGGGGAAGGCAACATCCCTATCTTTAAGGGCATCATTTTTGGCTTTGGGACAGTAAATGTTTAAAGCAGATATACAACGCATGCTCAACAGGCCACATCAGGGCTTTCTGGAAAAATAAGGTCAGGCCAAGTTAGTTTTAAACCCAATGGCTTCCTCATAAACTCCAATATATCCAATATTGCTTTTCATTTATTGCTCAGTTTCCGTATTTATATTTGCTTCTTTTCTGATATATATTTTTATTTGCTTATTTTCTTTTCTGTTTCATATGGGAACAATTCTCAAATATATGACAATCCTTGATTGTCCATTTATGTTTAATAATTAAAAAACAAAATAAGAAAGCACAGTTTGAGGCTCTTAGCTTGTGCGTCTTATTAGCATATGGACTGTAGATTAAAGTGATTATTGAGATCATCTATCTCTAGCACAGGACACTCTTTTTCTTCCCTTTTATTTTGGCATGGTAGCTATTAGGCGTTCTGTCCAAGAGGCTTTAGGAGATAAGGACTGTTGACTTTTTCATATAAATATTTAAACATATTATGCTATTTTAAACTCTATTATCATGTCCAACCACTGTACAAACTAGTATTTCTAATTCCTAACTTTCTCAGGGATCTTTTTGGGTAGACCTGCCTTGAATGGATGTCAAGTTTACTTATTTCTAATTTTCAAAATCCATTTATTTTTATTTTTAGAAAGGAACAACTATTTAGTCTCCAGTTTCTCATCACCTCTCCTTCCTCCATAATTTATCAAACATTACCAATTCTATAATTTTTATTACCTAGATCAGTCAGCACTACAAGTTAAAACCCATTTGGACCAAGAGATTTTAAGTTAAACAAGTATAATTTGTTTAGATATTATTTACGACTCCTCTACCTACCACTGTTTTCTGTTAGGTTTTATTATTGTTATTATACTGTCCCGTTAGTAGTTTTTAGATTGAAAAGAGAAAGCAGATCTTTGCCATCCATGAGACTTACACTATGGTCTTCTCCCTCTTTATGTTTCTCCATCTTCTTTTATAATAGTAATATACTTGCAAGCTTTATTAATTTGAGAATTTAGTGTCTTCACATCATTTCTTCAGCTCCATGGTACCCACTTTTATCAGTCTTTTATCATGTTTCCCCTTTTGTCTATTGTATGAGACTGTTTAAAGTCTGAAACGATTGAAGAGTTCTCTATTCAAACAATCTATTTCTTCAAGGATTTCCTCTTTTTTTCATAGACATCATTTGAGATTATGCAGTCAGAATTGCTTATTGGAGACATTTTCAGCCCTACTGATTCATATTTTAGTATTTAATCTGAGAAGTACTATAATTGCACAGATTTCTCTCTACCTTTATGAGAAAAGAGTATCATAGTATTATGAAAATGTTATAGACATTTTCATTTCAGAGGGAACTTTATATAAATCTCAACTGTACCACTTTCTGCAAGTTTACTTCTCTGATCTTAAGTTCCTTTCCTATAAAACAAAGGTGACAATCTCTGGGATTCCTAGAGAAATTCCTGGGGAAAATATCTATGAATGCAAACATTTGGTACAACTTCTGGATTATAGTGACCAATAAAAGCCAGTTACCATGTCACTTGTTTAACCTCAGGAGATACTTTTATCAGAGTAATACAGGTACAAAGTAAATATGGGGATGGGGAATTGCATTAATTAATATAGAAAGTGTGACCGATTTGGAGGGAAAAAATTTTAAGTAACAAACTATTGATGAATTACCAAGGAAGTAACTATTTTGTCTGGATATAAATCTGTTGCCAATTGGTAAATGTTATAGTATCGTAAGTTATTCTAATGAGACATCTCAGTGGGAAGACTTTAATGACACAGTTATTCTCTCCAATAAAATAACAATCAGTTTGCCTGGTATTGTACTAATTGTTATTAACATAGGGTATTGACAATGCTTAAAAGCTAAGTATTGAGTCACTTTAGAAAAAAATCTTATATTACAAGACCACTTCACACATACAGAACTGATGATCTTACTGTACTAAAAAGAACATTTAATCAAAAATGTTTTAAACTTCTTTTCTAATCAATAGACATTACTTTTGAACAGTTTTAGATTTATAGAAAAATTGGAAAGATAGTATAGTTTCCATGTACCCTCCTCTCTTTCTTACACACAGTTTTCTCTGTTTCACATCTTGCATTAGTGTGGTACATTTGTTATAATTAATGAACCAATTTTGATATATATTATTGACTAAGGACCATATATAGCATTGAGGTTCACTCTCTGTATTACGTGGTTCTATGAGTTTTGGAAAATGCTTACTGTAACATGTCCATCATTACAGTATCATGTAGAATAGTTTCATCACCCTAAAAATCTCCTGTACTCAACTTATTCATTCCTCCTTGCCTTCCCATGAAACTTTGTCAACCGTCATTCTTTTTACAGTCTCTATAGTTGTGCCTTTTCCAGAAAGCCATATAGTTGGAATAATAATACTTTCAGACTGTCTTCTTTCACTTATAAATATATACTTAAGATTCCTCCCTGTCTTTTTGTGGCTTGATAGATCATTTTGTTTTATTGTAGGGTAATATTCCACTGTATAGATGTACCAAATCTTGTTTATCCATCCACTGATTGTAGGCTATCTTAGTTGCTCCCAATTTTTCACAATTATGAATAAAACCGCTACAAACATTTGTGTGGAGGGTTTTTTGGACCTTAGTTTTCAACTCTTTTGGGTAAATACATAGGAGAGAGATTGTATGGTAAGATTTGCTGGATTGTGTGGTAAGAAAATGTTTAGCTTTGTAACAAACTGTCCAACTATATTCCAAAGTGGCCATTCCATTTGCATTCCCACTAACAATGAATCTGTTGCTCCACATCCTCACCAGCATTAGGTACTGTCAGTTATTTTTTTTTAATTTTTGCCATTCTGATGAGTGTATATTAATATCTCATTGTTGTTTTAATTTACATTTCCCTAATGATGTATGATGTTGAACATCTTTTCATAAGATTATTGGACATCTGTATGTCTTTTTTGGTGAGGTATCTGTTTGAATCTTTTGCCCATATTTTAATTGGGTTGTTTGTTTTTTTATTTTTGAGTTTTAAAAGTTCATATATTTTGGATATAAGTCCTTTATTAGATACGTGTTTTGCAAATATTTTCTTCCAGTTGGCGCATTATCTTTTCATTTTCTTAAAAGTGTCTTTTGCAGAACACACATCCTTAATTTTTATAAAGTCTAACATCAACTTATTTTTTTCATGATTCTCCTTTGGCACTGTATCTTAAAATCATTTATCAAAACCAAGATTACCTATATTGACTCCTATGTTATCTTCTAGTAGTTCAGTAGCTTTGCATTTTATATGTAGGTCTATGATCCATTTTGAGTTAATTTTTGGGAAAGGTGTAAGATCTGTGTTTAGGTTAATATTTTTGAGGGATTTGGACATCCAATTTTTTCACTACCATTTGTTTTAAGCCTATTTTGTGCCCATTGAGTTGTCTTTGCTGCATTGTAAAAGATTAGTTGATTATACTCGTGTGGGTCTATTTCTGGGCTTTCTATTCCATTTCATTGACCTATATATATTTTTTTTACAATATATATATTTTATCAGTTTTGTTATAATTAACATACAGCAATGTATAAGTTTAAGGTATACAGCATAATGATTTCACTTACATATATTGTGAGACCACATGTTTATATATATATGAATATATATATTTATTCTTTATATACTTCTGTATTGATTACCATACTTTTATTAAGTCTTGTAATTGATGTTGTCAGTCTTCCAAATTTGTTCTTCTTCTTCAGTGTTGGGTGGCTATTTTGGGTGTTTTGCCTTTGTATGTAAGCTTTAGAATCAATTTGTTGATATCCATGTAACAACTTGTTGGGAGTTTGATTAAGATTGCATTAAACTGTAGATCAAGTTGGGAAGAATTGACATCTTAAAAATATTGTCTTCCTATCTATGAATATGGAATATCCCTCCATTTAGACTTTCATATATTTCTTTAATCATAATTTTGTAATTTTCTGCACATAGATCCTATAGATATTATATTACATTTATACCTATTTCATTTTCTTGATACTAATGCAAATGTTATTGTGTTTTTAATTTCAAGTTCCAATCGCTATTTCTTGGTATTTTAGGGGAGTAGAATTTATCATCCCAAAATACGTCTCTTTGGCATAAGGATTTTTTTAGGCTGGTTATTTTTAAGAAACACCAGACATGAGAAAAGCTCAGAAAACCAAGTAGAAGTTACCTTTTGTAAAAGAAAATTACATTTGTAAGGTATATTTCCATTTGTAAGGGTGTCTCCCTTGCTGTACCAGGAAGAAGGGGATCAACTTATCTCTAGAAACTCTTATCGATGCAGAAGATACAAATTTAAATCTGCATCACAACTTTACACTTGTTTACTGTGCTTTTCCTGGTAACTTCTCATAACTGACTCCCCCAACTCCCAACATCTTCTTCTGTCTTTAGCTGAAGATGGTATTTAAGGTGGTGGCTTCTGCCATTTTGGGAAGTTATTCAGTTTTCCTGGGTCTCTCCCATGTATACAGGAGATATACATGTTATTAAATACTTGTTAGTTTTTCTCCTGTTAATCTGTCTCATATCAGTTTAATTGTTAGACAAGCCAGAAGAATTTAGAAGGGTAGAGGAAAAATTTTTCCTCCTCGACAGTATATAGGAAAGCAATTGACTTTTGTAGACTAACCTTGTATCATGCAATCTTGCAATAATTGCTTATAATTTCGTGGAGGTTTTTTGTCAATTCTTTGGGATTTTCTTCATAGATAACATGGTTATCAGAGACAGTTTTATTTCTTTCTTTTCAATCTGTATGCCTTTTCTTGTCTTATACATTAGCTAGACTTCCAGTATGATATTGAATAGGAGAAGTGAAAGGAGATATCCTTGCCTCATTCCCTATATTAGGGTAAAACATCCAGTTTATCACTGTTAACTATGATGCTAGCTGTAGGTCTTTTGTAGATTTTACTTTTATTTTTTTTAATCAATTGAGGAAGTTTTCCTGTATTCCTAATTTGCTGAGAGTTTTTATCACGAAAGATTATTAGATTTTGTCAAATGTTTTTCCTGCGTCTATTGATATGATCATATGATTTTTCTTCTTTAGCCTGTTAATGTGATGG